ACTAAAGCTATATATTTTTGACTGATTGCTTCAGACTTTGTTGACATTCTTCTATATTAGTTCTAAAATTGGATGAATGTTTCTGATGTCTGTGGTCCTTGAGTGCTGATGGGTAGGAGAACACAGAGTGCATTGATAAAGATTCAGTTCTTCAACCTCCCTGACTGAATCAGATCCAGTTAGGATCAGGCCCAAGATTTTAAACAATCTTCCTGCTAAAATTTGAGATCTCATGCCTTTAAAACTAAGGGATTATTTCCCTCATTACTTGTCACTTGTGGATGTTGGCTTCCAAGCAGAGTTATGCCACCCTCTTATTCTTCCCTCCTCTTTTCATTCTTTGCCAAATAGAATTCTGATTTAGCAAGTACTTTTCTGAGAACAACACCTTAAATATCCAACCACAGATGTGTTCATTACTCCTTCCTGTTAGCTGCTCAATAAGTAGTTTTGGCTAGTGATTTTTAGCACTTCAATAAATATGTATGGTTTAGACTCATTCTATGAGAAAAATATTAATAAAGGGAGGTAACAAATAAATAAAATTTTCATAATTGCTCACTAGGCATCTACTTCACTCTAAATTGTCCAAATATTCTGAATAAGATGCTTTGTTGACCAGTGCATTTAAAAGCAGTACTAAAGACTTTAAAAGTATAAGTATATCCATGCCAGGTGAATGGTGAAAGATATTTATGAGTATATAAATTAATAATAGGTGATAGAACACAGGTGATGTCCAGTGTGAATATGAATGATGCAATGCTTAAAATAGCATCTCTTACATTTGAGGACCTTCAGAACTACCTAGTGGGCTGATTAAGCTAAAGCTGAGCCCAACCCTCAGTGTCTGCTGCCACTGAACAATAAGAGGACTGAAGACCTTCAATTTCTGATAAGTTCCCAGGTAGCACTGATGTCTTATTCAGTAGACCACATATTCTCATAAATACACTGTATAGAGGAAGTGGATTTCTGAGGCAGAGCAAGCAACAACAGCTACCATGTGACATCAGTGTTAATAGAAAGTAAGTGACCAAAGGTACCCTGGAACATCAGTGTTACTAGAGAGTAAGTAACCATAGGTACCATGTGACATCAGTGTTAGTAGAAAGCAAATGACCTAAGGTTCCATGGGACATCAGTGTTAGTAGGGAGTAAGTGACAAAAGGTACCATGGGGCATCAGTATTAGTAGGTCTCAGAATGCTTTTAGTTTTGGCTTTCTGCTCATCACCAACACTTTGATGAGTTCCCTCAAAAGCAGGTAGGTTTTAAAAGCAGGTAGGAATGGTGAACTAAAGGAAAGCGAGGCTGCTGTGGTTAATGAAACATAGGTTTGTACATGTTCCTCCTGCATGTACACTGAAGGGTGTTCTCATTCTACACAGTACTATAGATAACCATTTTGAAAACCAAGAAAAGTAAATCCAAGAAGGGGGCCAACATGCCAAAATCACACGGAAATTTCTAGAAAGATGTGATTATAGTTTTCTTTTAGTGTGTGGTGGTTGGGTAGGAAAACCATTTCAACTACTCCCTCTGAATACAAAACAAGTCCAGAAATCAAACTTGTGTGGTTTTTATAACCCATACTTTAAATCTTCCTAGATTGTTTAAAATAACTACTGCAGCATAAATGCTATGTAGCTAGCTGTCATACCACATTATTAGAGAGTAATGACAGGAAACGTTATGTAAATGTTCAGTACGAAAGTGTTTTTGAATATTTTCAGTCAGTCATTAATTACATGTATGGATTAAAAATGCACAGTTGTAAAGACCAGTTGGGCTCAGTGCCTTCATTTTGCTAATCTTGACTGTCTAACCTTCCTCCTTTACCTTGTACTGTTATTAACTTTCCAAATCTCATGGCCAAAACTAAATATGTATGTTTAGTGACTATGCTGTTTACTCAAATTATGAACTTACCCAATTAAATCTCTGGTGAACTGTAGTTTCTTGTGAGAAATATGCCATTTTGAACACTAGTTATTGAAGAAAAAAATCCCTTGGTGGCACACGCCTTTACTCCCAGCACTTGGGAGGCAGAGGTAGGCGGATCTCTGTGAGTTCGAGACCAGCCTGGTCCACAAGAGCTAGTTCCAGGACAGCCTCCAAAGCCTCAGAGAAACCCTGTCTCAAAAAAACAAACAAACAAACAAACAAAAAAAACTCTGATCATCTTCAGAACCTGAACCTGTTGTGTTCTTGTTAGCATGCTACACAGGTCACCTTAATTCAGACTATGGTTAACTGTTTTTTCAAAGTTTGCTCTCCCCCTTTCTGTTTCCTGTGTTGCTTATGAAATAGCCTTCTAGTTTCTAAGAAAGCATTTCTTTGTAAAGAAGGCATTTGGTAGATCCTCCATGGAAAACGTGCTTTTTCCTCCTCACTTATTTCTGTTCTCATGGAAAAAAAGAAAGATATAGTAGGAATAAGAATAACAGGTGTAGGTTTCAGATGTCCTATAGTGGAAAAAAACATCTCGGCATCTTTAGCTGCTGATGTGCAGCTAACATGGTATCCCATATCACTTTGGCTGTGACTGGGAAGTCCCCGGCTTCTGCAGAGTGTGTAGGAGAAAGCATCCTTCAGTTCACTGTCTATAATGATAAAGCACATGATCTTATTCTCTCAGTTCACCATATAGAATATCCTCTACTGGAAACATCTCTTTTTTTTTTCACCTTAGCACTCTTTATTTTTACTTGCTTTAAAGTTGACTGTTTATTCCCTAGCCTTTATTGCGCTTCTTCTCCAAATCCATTTTAGTTTCTATTTTAATTGTTATGGACATGATATTTTGCTTTATCACAAGCTGTCAGTCTTGTAGCCGCCTCCCCCCTCTTCCCATGCTCTCAATTTACTCAGGGGATGGTGACCCTTTCCCCTTCTCCACGGGACAAAGTTTGTCTCTTCTAGGGTCCTCCTTGTTTACTAGGGAAACTTATCTCTTTAGCAACAATAAATTTAAATGAATTTTTTGTTTATATGTTTAAATCATTATTATCTTTAAAAATGTAAGACAGTGTCTGATCTAACACTTATTTTGAGAAAACATCAAAATTAAAACCCAGAAACTCACAGTTCTAGTCAGACACCCACCATTTAGTAGTTCAACACTCTGCGCCTCAATTAAAAATCACTAAACAGAGGCCCAGTCTTTGATTTTCTATGTAGAGTTTTAGTTGAAGCCAAATGCTACAGTGTACATATGCCTACTTTTAAATTTTGAAGCTCCATATGAATTGGCAGTCATTAATTCATGTAGTTTTTACTAACAAAATTGCCTTCTTACTGTTGTAACATTTGTTTTCCTCCTTTGCCAATCATACTTCTCAACAAAGCTTTCTTAGCCAAAGTTTAGAATCCTCTCTAAGTGATGCTGTTAGGGACAATCTCAATATCAGTTGTTTAATCAATCAACCAACCAATCAGAATATAGTGACAAGGTAGTTCAGTGATAGAATGCTTGCCTACATGCAAGAGGTCCCAGGTTCAATGCCCGGCACTAACAAAAATAATCCACTGACATGACAATACAACTCTAAATCAAAGAACAACCCTTAGTCTTTGGTGCAATGAATTCTAAACAATTATTTTTGAGAAATGCTTTGTTCAAACAAAATCCAGTGTGGAAACCCAGTGTGTGGCACAGATGGAGAAAAGGCACCCTCATGAAGTAGGCAGGATTCTGTGGAACTTGCATGCACTTTCCCAGACTTCTTGTGTCTGTCAGAACTCATTTGAACACTACTCTTGAGGCTCACAGGTGAGGCGTATTATTAACATGTAAATAAGACAGAACCAATGGCCAAAATTTGCTGTTGAACAAGTGTTGTTTACAAAGATTTTCATTAAAATATTGCTAGCACTAGAACTGTTGTCCTTGAAGCATGCAGTGTCTGTTTTCCTGATAAAACCACCTTGAAATACATAACTTTCAATGAGCACATGTGCAACTGTCCATGGTATCACTATGGTATAGAGAAGCTCTGGGAGTAAAAAAGGGAGGAGGCATGAACAAGGCAGTTTGTAAGCTCATGAGGTTGATGTAGAAAGGATTTGGCATCAGTACAGATAACCTATGATTTGCATAGGGAGAACTGAATTTTTTCACGGTACAACTGTAAGTGGGTTGAACACCCTCAACAGAAACAATAATTCTATAGCAGTTCTTAATACGATACTGAATCCAGATGGATCATGTTTACTGTTACTGCTCTTCCTCTAGTTTAAGTGTCATTCAATTTTATTAAAACCATGTGGATATTTTAGTATATTCACTAATTTAAAATAATTTTGATTTTGTTCACTGGACTGAATGTTGATCTAGAATTGAACATATTAGAAATTATTAGAGAATGTTCATGCAACAGAATGAGGGAAAAATCTAGAAGCATACCAATGTAAATCACATTTTAACTTATAAATAATTGTAACTATTCATGACACAAGTTCCAGACAAAAGCAAGATGTCTGGGTAAGCATATTGTTTAGTTTTATATTCTCTGATCCTTTAAATAGTTCTTTAGAAAATCACTTAATCCCCTAAGATAGTAAGACAGTTTTAAAATTTTCTAAGTCTAACTTGCAACTGATCTTTCAGCAAAAATCCATCTGCAAAATCCATTTTAACATAGAAAAATGACTCTTAAACCTTAAAACTTTAAAAATTAAATAGAGCAGTACAGCTGTGGTCTTTGATATTTATTTTAGACATTTTGACACAGGCATATCTATATCTCTTAATTTCAGGAACCAAGAAGCTGTAGTGCTTGAGTATTCCTCAAACATAACAAATATATCATGAGATGATAATTTCATAGCCTGTTAATAATTTCATAATCAATACATAATATTCCATAATTTTTTTTTCTTTAAGCAATAGTTGACTAACTTCTATTCTTTGGAAAACTATACCAGGACAAAGAGCAAGGGTACCTGAGAGCTTGGAGCTAAAACACAATAAGCTAACGTACTTTTCCTTTGTCACAGTTTCAGACTCAAAGCTTACGTCTGTCAGACCAGCACAGGAAATCACACCTGTGGAGAGGAATCGTTAGCATCACCTTGATTGAGGGCCGAGACCTCAAAGCAATGGATTCCAACGGGCTGAGTGATCCCTATGTGAAGTTCCGGCTCGGGCATCAGAAGTACAAGAGCAAGGTAGGTCTCCATCCTTCTATGCTCCTGTCACTGTTAGGAGGGTGCTGACCAGTTAGTAGCCAGGCTTCAGGAGATATGAACAACAGATGCCTTTTGAAATGGGAGCTTTGGAATATCATGTCTGAAGCAAAGTCCTAAGTGGCCTTGAGTGAACCACTCTGCTATTTTGTCTCACTGCCTTTATCTATTATCCAGGAACCAGCTCTCTGCACATTTGTGAGGTTTAAAAGAAAAAAAAAAACCCAACAATATCCCAGAAAGAGTATAAAATATCCCCAAACTGAAATGCTGAGGAAGTTGACCAGAACCAGCGCTGCTGGCATCAGTGATACATACACTATTTTGCATGCAGTGAAAGTCTTCCAAATTACACTGCATCATGTTAATCAATCTGACTTTGGCCAATACAACACCCAAGTTGTTTTAAAATTGGTTTCTCATTTTTACTTAATCATAATTCTTTTGAGTTTTGTATCATGCTTCAATAAAATGTATTTCAATTACATTCACTTCTCTCCTTTTGACCCTCCTGGCAACCATTTGGTTCTTCCAAACTGATTCCCCACAACATGTCCTTCTTTTCCTTCCTTCCTTGCTTCCTTCCTTCCTTCCTTCCTTCCTCCCTTCCTTCTTTCCTTCCTTCCTTCTTTCTTTCCTTCCCTCCTTCCTTCTTTTCCTCCTTCCTTCCTCTTTTACTTGCTTTTTCTCCTTTATTTTCTTTCATCTGGCCCCAATGCAGGCAGGAACAACTGTTGTATGTTCATAATTGCAATGGCCATGTCATATACAGAAATTTTAACATGTATTTAGGAAAGGAAGGGCCAAACCCCTGCCTGCTGTTGCTGAGTCATGTACAAAAGCACAACTACTTAATCCCTCTGTGTGTCAATTTCCCCTTCTGCAGAAAGAGAACCAAAATAATGCCTACAAAAACAAATTATTGAAGCAATTAAATGTATGTATGGTAGACACACCAAGGACTTAAAATGCTGCTGTCATCATAACTACAGTAAATGCTAAAAGCAGAAGGGAGATCAGCAGCAGTAGTAATGTTTGTAGAATGACAGTTTTATTCTTAGTGGTAATATATTAAGTAATATCAGTAGCATGTTAGTTATGAAATGACAAAGACTTACTGATAGCTACATCTTGTCATGTCCAATTACAACTGCTTCCAGTTTGTACAGCTGGTATTCATAGACAGCTTGGGATGAGTGTTTCCATCCATCCTCAATTACATAAATGATTATTTTTGTGAAAATTCCTTGCCTTTAATGTACTTGTTTTCATGGATCTTGCATCCACACCATGTCTAGTTCCCTTCTAGCCCAGAAAGTCTTCATCAGTACTTAAGGTAATTCAAAATATACCTAAACTGATTCATTAATAGGCAGTATGCTTTGCTAGCAGGCAGTATGGTAATCTTTTTTTTTAATTTTTTTGTAAATTTTTTCCAGTTTTTTAAATTTTAGAAACAATTTTATTTTACATATCAATCCCGGTTCCCTCTCACTCCCATCCTCCCATGCCCCCCACTGACTCCTCCAACCCATCCCCCAGCCATTCCCCAAGGATAGTGAGGTCTTCCAAGGGGATCGTCAAAGTTTGTCACATCCTTTGGGGAAGAGCCTAGGTCCTCTTTCGTGTATCTGGACTGCAATAGTATCCCTCCATAGGGAATGGGCTTCCAGACCATTTGTGATCTAGGGATAAACACTGGCTCCACTATTAGAGACCCCATAAACTGCCCAGGTCTCCTAGCTGGCACCCACATTCAGAGGGCTTGGTTAAGTGTAATGCTGATTCCCCAGCTTTACGACTAGGGTCTCCATCCTCTCACTAGGTCAGGTCAACTGTAATCTTATGGAGGCCCACATGGACTATTTAGACATAATTATTAGCTGGAATAAAGTTATATGGGAAAGACCATCCTAATATCTAAATGTTAGTATGTTTACCACCTGATAAAATAAAAGATGAACTACATTTCCAAAATGCCATAGGAGTTCATCTAAGCTGAAGAGAACATTTGAATTGTCATAGCATCCATCTAGTACCATGTATATTTTTCACCAGGAGCTTAAGAACAAATTTTAAAACAGCTACTCTTTCCAAAAATAGATATCTATGACCACTTCTCTCTTCTGTCATTAATACAATTTGCATGTTCATTTGGGCTTAGTTTTATAGTTCTGCTCTTTAGATATAAAATATGAACCCCACTATGGACATGTGTCTCTTTTGATCTTTCTGTCCATGATCTATTGCAGATTAATTTCAGATTATGAACTTTAAAGTTGTGATTCATTTGCGTTACCTTTGCACATCACATATGTCATTGCTTTCAAATTCTTTGCATCAAAGGATCTTTCTGTCATACATTAAAAAGAGAAAAGGCCACTACATACTATCTGCTTTAAAAAAAATGAATGGCAAGAGAAACAAATGGAATTTTATAGTACATTAATATTAGTAACTTTGTTTATTGATTTACTGAGTGTCTTCTCTGATTATTTAAAATCACAAAACTGCAGTCTAGCTATCCTTGTGGTTTATTCAACATGAAAAACACACACATGCAGTTTCCCTGTGTGGAAATTGGAATAGCACAGTGATGCTAAATACTAAATGCAAAGTAAACTAAACCTACTTGTTTATTCCTTCTGCTTCAATATAATTCATTGTCTGTTAAACACCAATGTGCATAGAAAATAAAAGGGAAAATGGGAACTCTAGGAATTATCACCTTCCTTTACTACAAGATAACTGACTATGTGTTCTTTCTTTCATCAGTAACTGTAATAGAATAAATGCTAGCATCTGAATGACTTATTTCACTGACAGGCTGCCTTCTTGTGTATTTCATATTTCTCATCTGCTGTGTAAGATAATCAAGGACTTACTTCTGACTGTCTGCTTTCTCTGGACATATCCATAAAAGTGTACTCAGAAACTAAGAAGCAGAAGATTGGGTAGCTAATATTGTACATGTATACCCAGAATCTTTGTTTGAAACTGCCCTTAGCAAGATTTTCTGTGTAGTATTTCAAGTTGATTTTTAAATACAATTTGCACTTAATTGTTTTGATAATACAATAACTTTTTGCCTTTCCAGATTATGCCCAAAACTTTGAATCCCCAGTGGAGGGAGCAGTTTGATTTCCATCTCTATGAAGAAAGAGGAGGGATCATTGACATCACTGCCTGGGACAAGGATGCTGGGAAAAGGGATGATTTTATTGGAAGGTTCGTGAAAACTTGTATTTTATTTACCTTCGAGATGACATGTTTTGCTTTAAATCTGGCTGTTAGCAGTTTTGAAAGAAGGAAACCTTCCTCAATTACAGCACCACTTAGCACTGAAAACCAGATTCAAACAATGACCAGTAGGTGGCAGCTTTGCCTAGTTGATGGACAGGATATTCCCATTTGATATCCAGAAATTTTCTCCAGATGTCAGAATTTTTGTGCCCAAAAGTTATGGGAGTTGGAAAAGAGGAATTTAATCTGATATGGGACACTTAGAGGACAAAGGACACATTCAAGGATGGAAAGTGATCTGTGATAATGTTTGTTTTCACAGTGTATATTGTAACCATAAAACACATCACTTCCTACAACTCTGTACAAGCATCTTTACAATCTCTTAGGAGTCCATAAATCTGTAAAGAGTTCCAGAATTTTAGAGAAGGGAGGACATCAGTGGGGCAGATACATGCTAATCTGATAATGCAGCAAAATGTATTCTCGGGCTCAAATGGCATTTCTCTACAAAGTTACAGGTATTTGACTCTACCACTTGAATGATAGAAATCGTGTTCTGATTAAAAATCCTATTTTTGTATTTTTGACAGTTACGTATTCCATTGTATCAAAATGTGTGAAAACTTGCCAGCGTAGAAAAATGCAGTCTACAGAGGGGTTTATTATTTGCTAATTCTTTACTGTAGTTCACAGGAATTCCAAGTCATTGAATTTACAATCCAAAGAGAATTCACACATTCCCAAAGTAAAGGGAATTTCAGTCTAAAAGTAGAAACAGGAATCCAAACTGACATTTGAGGCTCTTCATTTTTATTTAAATGATTCTGACACACCTACTTAAGCAATAGTTTCACATATGCTTGTAGAATGGGAGATGAAGCTAAGTTTCAGTTAATCACTAACACCTGGCTTTTAAATGAAGTTGGGGGGACACCACTATGGTCTAGGAATTGGATTATACTCCAGTCCTTTTTGTTGTACTTTGCCTCTCAGAAAAATACTACTACTAGAGTTCTCTGTTGGGTTTTTTTTTTTTTTTTTTTTTTTTTTTTTTTTTTTGACTCTGGTCCCACATTGAAACACCAAAATGTTGGCTGTTTTACTCCCTTTACTCTTTTGGCTCTTTGGAGGGCCCACAACCCAGCTCCCAAATAAATACACAGAGGCTTCTTACGTATGAATGCTCAGCCTTAGCTTAGCTTGTTTCTAGCCAGCTTTTCTTAAATTATCCCATCTACCTTTTGCCTCTGGGTTTTTTCCTCTTCTTACTTCTGTAATCTTTCACTCTTACTCTGTGGCTGGCTGTGTGGCCTAATGGCTGGCCCCTAGCATCCTCCTCTCCTTGTTATCTTGCTCTTTGACCTTCCTCCCAGATTATCCCCCCTCTTTTATTCTCTCTGCCTGCCAGCCCTGCCTGTCCTTTCTCCTGCCTAGCTAGTGACCATTCAGCTCTTTATTAGACCAATCAGGTGTTTTAGACAAGCAAAGTAACACAGCTTCACAGAGTTAAACAAATGCAACATGAAAGAATGCAACACTTCTTTGCATCATTAAACAAATGTAACACATCTTAAAATAATATTCTACAATAAGCCTCTGGAAGTTATTTTGTTCTTTTTGGTATCTGCTACTAACTTAAGTCATGGTGTGTTATGTGATGCTTTACTCTTTTGGCTCTTTTGAGGGGCCCACCAACCAGCTCCCAAATAAATCACACACAGGGACTTATTCTTAGTTATGAATACCTTCTCCTTCCTTCCTCATCCCCAGATTCTTTTCTCCCAGATTTCCCCTTCTATATATTTTTCCTGCCTGCCAGTCCTACCTATCCCTTCTCCTGCCTTGCCATCGGCGTTTCAGCTCTTTATTAGACCAAGCAGGTGTTTTCGACAGGCTAAGAATCACAGCTCCACAGAGTTAAGCAAATACAGCATAAACGAGAGCAACACATCTTTACATCCTTAAATGTTCCATAGATTAAACAAAAGTAACACATCTTAGCATAATGTTCTATCACAATGGTGGACACCTGCCAGTCAGTCGCAAATCATTTCACTGTGCATTTGATTGTATCTCCCTCCTCCAGCTGTGATCTCTCTCAGAGAGTCAGAATCTAACTTATTTTTCATAGTTTAAGCAACAGTGCTTGTCTAGGTAATCAGATAATACAAGTGGAACCTGTTCCCTCCTTGCTTTATGTTCGAACTCTCTTGAATGAAGGGGCTGTTGGCATTGGTGGTGCACGCCTTTAATCCCAGCACTCCGGAGGCAGAAGCAGGTAGATCCCTTTGAGTTCGGGCCAGCCTGGTCTCCAGAGCGAGTGCCAGGATAGGCTCCAAAGCTACACAGAGAAACCCTGTCTCAAAAAAAAAACATATAATAACAAATAATATTCTACTGTGAATATGTACTATATTTTCTTTCTCCATCAGTTGATGGACAGTAATGTGTCCACTTCATGATCCTGTGATCAGCACTGCGTTAAACATAGCAGTAAAGAGTCTGAAGTAGTTATGTATTTTTTCTCTCAATAGTTTCATGGTTTTAGATCTGCTTTTTAAGTCTTTAGTCAATTTTTGAATTGGTGTGTACATCTGCAGAGAGATCATGGTGTGGTTTCTGCATGTGGGTATCCAGTTTTCCTAAGACCATGAGTTGAAGAGGCTGCTTATAGTTTGCTCCATGTTTCTAGTGCATTTGCTGAGCATCCTTGGTGAACACCTGTAGGCTCTGAATGCTTCTCCACTGTCTAAGTGTCTTCATTATCTCTGTGATATATTTGGAAGTCAGGTATTAAAATGAGCTCAGCTGTTTGATTAAAATGCTAGCTCTTTGTGGAGTGTTGTTCACACCCTGACAGAAACTACATTGCATCTGGAGATCATTTTGAGTAGCATGGACGTTTATTTATTTATTTTCATTTATTTTACATACCAATTACAGTTTTCCTTCCTCCTCTCCTCCTGTTCCCAGCCTCCACCTCCCTTTTACCCACCCCCATTCACTCCTGCATCTCCATTCAGAAAGGGACAGGCCTCACATGGGAGTCAACAGAGCATGACACATCAAGTTGAGGCAGGACCAAGCTACTCCCCTGTAGCATGGACATTTTAATATTATGATTTATTCCAATCTATGAACCTACCTTTCCATGCTTTTATTCTAAGTTGGTTCATTTATTCTCAAATATTTTACTTTTATAGCTACTGTAAATTTGGTTTGTTTTCTTATTTTTTAAATTAATTTGCTATTGATGGACTGCAATGTTACTGATATTTATCTGTTGATTTTTGGATCCTACAGTTTTGAAAAAAATGTTTAATTGGCTCTAACAGTTTTCAGGGGGGCTTTGGGATATTCTGTAAATAAGATCACATCACATATGAATAGTGACACTTTGCTTCCATTTCTTCCTTTTGCTGGATTGTTCTGGCAATAAAAACTTGAAAGTTAGCATGCACATATTCTGCAGCAACATCCCATAGCATAACCCCATTCAATATAACATCAACTATAGGCTAGTTTAAGGCTTCATTGTGTTGTAGTATGCTTCTAATATTCACTGTATTCAGAATTTTCACAATCCTGATGTATGGGGTTTACACGTTGTTTATTTGTCATTTGTTTGTTTTATTTTACATGAAAATATATTCACCAAGAACAGAAATTAGCAATGACAATGATAATGACTATTTTCCAACTTGTAAGCCATCTTTTCATACAGCTCAACATGAGGAAGGTATAGAAGGAAAGTGTATACTGTGCCAATTCTGCTGATACAAAGACTAAAGCCAATTTGGTTAAGAGGCTGCTTGCTGATTACACAACTGGAGTGACTGGGCTAGGGTACAGATCCAAGTCTCCCAACTCTAAAGTTCACTTTCAGTTTACCACAGTCTGTATTCAGCATGTTTTCTGGAAGGCTTTAACTCTTAAAGAAAATAATTAGTCAGTAAACCAATTTAGATGATGTGCATCATACTGCAAGTTGAACAACAAATCTTATCTGTTGTTGAACTACAGATTTCAAGCAAAGGTGAAGTAATGTTAATTATTTAACTTTCTGATCTCCTGCATTTTGGCAGGCAAGAAGGAAGGCCATCTTTACGATAATCAGCTAATAAATCCTCATGATTGTTACACTTTTATGCAGAGTAGTAATCTGGACAAATTGGTTGCTGACAGCTGAGGTAAATTGCCAAGAATGAGGGCTGTCAGAGAGCAAATTGCTTTTATGAATGCACAGAATAAGTAAATCCTATAGCATGCAAGCTTATTCAGGTAGAGTTATCTGTAATCCAATATGGCAAGTTTATAGTATAATTTGTTAGTGTGCAAAATATCATTTTATCTTTAAAGTGGCATTGATTTGGGGATATATGTATTTTAGTTTGGTGAGGTGTTAGCGATGTTATTCATTGTATGTTATCAAGGCCTTGGAGTTGGCACTGCCTAGTACAGAAAAGCGTTGCTAGTGTAGGCCTGAGAAAAGAGTTTTGAAAATGTTTTATTAAATGGTATATGATAAGACAACTTACAATAAGTTGTCAAGTTCTGGGCCAAGAACATGTCTTCCAATTCTGTAGCATGAAATAACCCTATGACTCTTCAAAAGATGAGAATGGAATATGAGGTAAATACACCTGTTCAGGTATAGATGGAGGTGAACATGAATATTCAAGGTTAGCATGGAGGTGAACACACATTTTAATGTGTAGATGGAGGTGAACATGCATGTCAAGGCTTAGTGTGGGGAAGGAGGAAACCAGGCTTTGGCTTTGACTTGCCACTAAATTCATATTCCTTTAAAGTTTAAGATGAGTGCATTTGCATAGTCAACTTTATGATTCTGACTTGGGGCATTTATTTGTGACACCAAAACTTACAATGACCTTTCCTTCCTACATAAAAGAGGAAGTAAAACCACATGCATTGTTAACTACAAAGTACAGAGATTTGTAAACTAATGAGCTTTTTATTGT